CTTAACTATTTGAACTGTAATTTAAATGCCTGAATTTCTTTGAAATATTGTTTAATAGTACTATTTAATATCTGGATAACAATTTCACCATCTTAGTGTACTATATTTTGGAGACACATGAAGCTAATGGGAATGAGATGACTACCTATGTGACCTAGAATATTTATCTTAGATCTTGAGAGGTATATCAACTTCAGTGGCATAAATGCTTATTTATATAAAAGTTGACCTCATTTATAAATTTCAAAGAAAATACTCAGGTCCCCAAATCTCTGCTTCAGGCCAACTTTTCCAGGATATACCTACAAAGCCGGAGAGCAGAAGACGTGGCTACTACCCAGTCATACATGAGCAGATGCCGTAGGCTGTGCACTAAATAAAACCTGTGACCAATAGATTTGTAATTGCTTCAAGCTAAAAATGCCCACAGCCAGGGTTGTACTACAGCTGCATATGAGGGATTGAGTGGGAAAATGAGTGTTTAAAATCTAAAGTCATTAATTTATGGGGGTTTTTTGTTTGTTCATTTATTCGTTCGTTCATTTAGTAAAGCTAAAGCCATGCTATTGAACATGTGAAAAGAAAAATTACAAACAGTTCCTTGGAGATAATGCCCTTAATGAAGTCACAAAATCAAATCCCAATCCCAGAGCCTAAATCTCTTTCCCCTCTAACAATAATAGAGTAGGAATACCCATTTGTATTATAGCTAGAAGAGCTTAGTTAAGATGGTCTGGAGCTGATCTGTTCTTAATTTGCCCAGCAAGTTACAATTTTCCTTTAACTCCCTTCTTTCCCCTAAGACACAGTAGGCAGAGCACTGGATTGGAAATCAGATGACCTGGTTTCATCTCTACCTCTAGCCACCTGGGAACATCTTTGGCAAGTTACTTAATATCTCTGATTCTCAGCCTTTTCATATGCAAAAGAGAAATATTAACATTTTCAAGCTAACCTAGATTATGTTATGAAAGTGGATACTACATCATTATACCTATAACTTATTCATTCCATCTAGAATAAAATCACTGAGATTTCCAAACCATAATTAAAAACTAATAAGAAGAATAGTTCAGAGAAAAAAGAAAGAAGGGGTTGCTGACACCTTTCTCTTTTCCACTACACCATACAAACCTCCATTATAGAACTTGGGTATTTTCAATGAATGTGTCTTACCTGTTAGACTCAATTCCCTGAAAGTAAAGACCTTATTGTACAAACTTTGTTTCCCGGCAGCATGTGGTCCTGAGAGCTTTTTAGGTAATAGTAAGGTAATAGTATGTAGGTAATAGTAAGTAGAACACCTGGAATTAAAGCAATCATTCTCACTTACTAAAGAGGTAGGAGTGGTCATTGAGGTGTTTACACCCTAGTTTTGTAGATGTGTATTATAACTTCTTGAAAGACCAGATCTCTGTGAATACTGCCATTTCTTGATTGTGAAAATTTGCCTGCTTTCTGGGGCAGGCCCTTGTCTCCACTCTAGGATAGAATCGGTCTTTGTTCCTTGGGTCTAATGTAGTAAAAGACTGTCTCCCTTGAGTTTCTTTTCCTCCTAATCAATGTCTTTACAATCTCTTCCCAGTGTCTTTCTATGACCACAAGAAGTTATTTTGTACCAATTGTCCTGTTCCCTTTCAGAAGCAGACAAGTTCTTCGGTGGAAGGTAAGGAAGCTCCAGGGACAAAATCAGTATTCACATAATACTAATGAAACACACCAGTTATCTGGAAGGGCAGATTCCTTGAGGGGCAGTGTAGTAGGATAATAAAAACAACCCTGAGGTAAGAGAGAGGGAACCTAGGCTTTATCTAAATTCTGCATCAACTTACTGTGTTATCTTGGGAAGATAATCTACCTCTCTAAGTCATCTTTCAGTAAAATAAGTGGTGAGAGCAAGATAATTTCTGAGCCCTCTTTTATTTTGGATATCCAGAGTTAAAGGTATACTTTGTGCCACCATAAAACAGAATTGTCTGTATATTGAGAGTAGTTGAGCCAAGGCCAAGAAAATTGGTCCTACATTAGTACCAAAAATAAATCTGCATAATCTTGAAATAAACAAATATGAGAAGAGTGCTAGTGAATCAAAATCCCCAGGACTGTGAGCCCCATGTTTGGTGGGCAGTTAAGCACCCCTACTGGGAGTCTATATAATGGTTAAAGAAACCTTGACTGATTGAAGCTTCCAAAATGAGTGAGTTTGCTAGCCACATGCTTCAATAGTTATTAAAATCATGACTATGTGCTATATCTTTCTGTTGCCACACTAGCATCACCTAGAATAGCCACTAATGTCATTTTTCTGTGCTAACTAAAGCATTAAGGAAGAATGTCATCACCTAGTAAATAGAGCTTTGTTTCACTAGACACTGTAAGTTCATAGGTTATTCATTCTTTCAATTAACACTGAGAAATTGCTATGTGCCAGACACTGTATGAGATACTGACTAGATCATACATATGAATCTGACATATATCTATTCAAAGGAAGTTTATGCACACTCACTCTCTTACATACACTCATGCAACTATAATGAATGGTAGAAAGTGATAAGTAAACACTGTGGAAGAGACACAGATTAAGTACTCAGAGAAGGTAGATATTCCAATTCAGAACATAAGACAGAATTTTATCAAGTAATAAGCATATAATGTGTCTTGAAGGCTGGATTAGGGTTGGCCGGTGGAAATGACATGAAGTAACAAAGGCTAGAAAACATACCATATGTGAGAACAAAATTGACACCAGTTATAACATCTAACATTTACTAAGTACTAAGAATTTTAAATACATGGTCTCAGTGAGTCCTTTTAATTGTCAGGGGGGTGGTTCTATTATATGCCTATCTTCAGATGGGGAAACTAAGGCCCAGAAACAAAGAACACCTTTCCCAAGTTCCTCCATTAAAAGAAATAGCAAACTGCTAAGGATAGCTGAAGCACATGGCTGTAGCAAGGGGAAAAAGGAAAATATCTAAATGGTTCATTGTGGCTAGATAATAAACAGGCTAGAAGGCTAGACTCTTTCGGTGAATGAAACTCAGGAGGAACTCAAATGAACTCAATAGGAAGCAAAAAGTAAGACCTTCTGTATATTTAAAGCAAAACAAAACAAAATAGAACAAAGCTATGCTCTGTATATTATTTAAAATGGCCCAGAACCAACACTCCTTGAGCACCCTTTTCAGTGACAAAGTACAACATGCAGTCACATCTGAAAGGGATGTGAATGCCCTTTCTAATACAATCCTCTGCTTATGAAGGTGGACCAAGTAGGCTGGAAGGTAGTTCACCATGTTAAAATGTTTTATCCAATTTAAACTTTAAATAAAAAATATATCTATGTGGGCACCTGACTACATAATTTTTGCCAATTATTTCCATGCTACTATTGGGAACTGACAACTAAAGACGATACAACTTAAAATCCCCTGGCACTCATACATTCTCTGCATTGCTCAGAAAACAATTAAATTGAGTTCTCTTCTGTGCTTTAATCATGGTAACGCGATTCTATTACTCCACTCAGTTGGTTGGTAACCAGATGTACATAAGGCATTTAGCACAGACAGGTCCCCTAAGTGGACACGCATTAATTCCTCCCTAAAAGTCTTGTAAATAAAAGATGCACCAGAACCTCAAAGGATGTTCTGTTTTCACAGAGATTAGCAAATTGGCTTGGATTTTTTCTCTTGCTTGATCAGCTGTTTAGGAATTAACTTCCACTAAGCCAGCCACTTTCATATTAAAAATGTGTATTATCTAACACAAATATTTTCTACAAAATATGAAGTTCCTCTTAGATGTTTGTATGCTGCCATTAGTAAGTTTATAATATGAGGATTTATGTTAAGTCTACATATTTATATTTGGTTTATAATTTCAGCAGCTATACAGAAATATGGTTGATAGCTAATACACATATCCTCAAAAGGACATCTATTTCAGGTCTCTGTAAGTTAAATTAGCAATGTTTTTATCTCTGTCTTGAGTGGTCACATTTAGTATGTTGCTGTAATACTAATAGCTATAATTTATTGAGCTTTTTATTATTTTTGTGGTTTTTTTGACTCTCATTTTGATAAAATTAAAAAGACTTCAGATGCCTCCCGCAGTTATTCTGGGTTATGATTTTAAGGTCTGATGCCTTCAATATAGCATAGCATTCAGTGAGGTAACCCAACACACATGTATCTTGCAACTCAGTACTTCCATGCTGACATCTTATAATAAAAATGATATTCATCTTGAGAAAAAATATTTTAGAAGCTTACTTTTAGAACAGAGATAGTTGTTTGGCATTGTTTAGTTAGAGAGGATTGTCAAAGAAGATATAAAAGCAATGGTATTTCTCTAGATAAATGTTCACAGACTAGAAACAAATTCAGAACTTTAATTTAGCTATTTAAACCACCTTTTCTCCCCAACCACTAAATGATTTTTCCTTTTCATTTTTCATATATTACATATTTTTACATAAACCTGGTGTGTAGTTGGACATTTTGGCCTGCCTACCCATATATACTCATTTTAATAATTCAACATATAATTTTAAGTGTATTTAATATATAATTGATGTTTGTGGTAGCTGCTCCCAATAATTATCACTGGATTAAAGTTTGAATGCATGGAATTACTTGTAATTATTTCAATTTGAAATAACCCAAATTATAAGGGTTACCATTTAAAACATAACATTTATTGCCACAGAGAATTTTATTTCTTTTATTTTTTAATATTTATTTTTTAAGAGACAGAGTCTCACTCTATTGCCCAGGCTAGACCCAAACTCCTGAGTTCAAGCAATCCTCCTGCCTCTACCTCCTGAGTAGCTGGGGCTACAGGAGCAAGCCACCACACCCGGCTTGCCACAGGGAATTTTAAATAGATGTCTATGAGCACTGGAGTGCATATCTCAAAGAAAACTGAAACCACCAGTCAAGTTTGTCATGTATTATTAAACAGAAAGGTTTACTCAGTAAGAAACCAAATCCGTGTTTTTCATAATTTCACGATAATTTTATTTTATATTTACAGTCTTCAATTTCTAATGCAAGGGTCTTGCTGAGGATTTGGGGGATTAGGGAATAGAGAGGGGGTTTGGAGGAGAAGGATCAGAGGTCTGACATAGACAATAATAATTAATAAAGCTAACAGGATGTGAATGTCTTCCAGAAGAAATTCTTGCAGCCAGCTTTGCGTTCTCGGGGGGCCATAGCTGGGTTTGAGTTAGCAGATCTCTGCAGCTCCAGCCTCATTTCATCCTGCTCAGCAGCCTGGGACAAATCTTCAGGTTCCAGGGCATCATTCTCCGTCTGGTTGGGTTCAGACAGCAGCTCCGCCAAGAAGTACTTGGCCAGTTCCTGTAGAGAGGAGAAGGGAATGGGGGGAGGGAGGGAGGAAGAGGAGGATGGAGAAGAAGATATAGAAAAGCTTAGTTTGAAAAACAGATTTAGTCACACACAAAACCCAGTTTTCACAGCTGTGCACTTTTTGTCACATTTAAAATCAATTAAGGATAAGGGTAGTTGCTATAATCACTAAGTTACAGAAAAAGGTTTCAAAAGCTCAAATGTTTCTGCAAGCCTTATCCCTCTGTAGGCTTAACACACACACACACACACACACACACACACACACACACACACACATACACAAATGTCATTAAAGCAGGTTTTGCAAAGATAAAGCATGTGCCAACAGTTTAACTCAGTTTCCGTATCATGAGCTACAAACTGGAATTGTTCTTACCGTTTTTGCTAAGCAAACTGTGGGGTAACAAGACCTCACAATCGCAAACATATTGTTTGGTCTGTAGAGTGCCCCTTGCCCCAGTCCTGTGGTGTGGAAGGAGGTACCGCTTAGGAAGGTAGCTGCTTCAGAGATCCGCATTTCAGCACCTGGGTCAGCACCTCCCCTGGTCAGCACCGGGGATAGATGCCATCATCCCTTCCGGCTCAGACAACTACCCAGGTCTTGGAATTTTCTTGGAATGCCAAAGAACTTACCTGAACTGTGAACGACTGCCCTGATCAGAAAAAAGAGGTAAGAGGGAATTCCAGACTTGGAAAGTTTTCTTAAGAACTTTGGAAGCTGAGGGACCCAGAAAAGCACCTAAATTCCTTAGGAGGACTAGCACGCTTACGTCCAAACCCAGAGGAGAAGAGCAAGGCTAAGGGAGGGCTGGGGGAATCGCGAGAGGGAGGAAAAGGCTTCGAGGGAGTCTCCTTACCTGCTTCCCCGCGGCAGCAGCCAGGGACTTCTGCAGAAACTGACGGAGTCTGGGGTCCGAGGGCGCGCCGGTGACACCGCCCAGGGCCAGGACGATGGAGAGCGCAGCCAGCGCACACTGAAGGCGGCAGGACAGCATCTCGGCGCCCCGGGGAAGCCGACCTAGAGAGCGGCTGGTCAAACTCTAGGCGAGAATCCGCAGGCAGCAGCGAGGGCTCTGAACCTCGCCACTCCTAAAGCGGCTTGTGTGCTCTCATCCGTCTCACCCCTTTTTAAACTCTCTCTCTGACGTCAGGATAGGAGGCGCCCCCAGATCTCACCAGCGCTTTTACGCACCATTAGCCTCGGGAAATCAATCACAGAAGTGAGGGGAGGAGACACGATCTAAAGTGGCTTACTTGAAAAAAAGAAAAAAAGTATTGCACACGCACAGGCACACGCGATTCCACACGCTACGTTATTTACACAATCTTTTATTTCCCTCACTGCTACGAACACATTCCATAATTTCACTCACACACTCACAGGTGCGCACTCGATGACACACAAACAGAGGCTCAAAGACTCAGCCATGAAGAGCAAATACACAATCACACATAGGTGCATACACATAAATGCACCCAGACAACCCCGTCTGTCGTTATCTCACACATTTGAGGAGGGCTAAACAAACGCAAAAGTGTATGTCTATGGCACGAGGAGGTTTCGGAATCATTTCTCTAAGAAGAGATTTGAGAATGGAATATGAACATTAGAAGGACTGACCCACCTTCTTTTCCTCCATTATCTCTGTAAAAAGTCTTGTGGATGAACATGCAATGGGGCTTTAAAAGAACTTCACTCTTCTCTATTCTGGGTCAGAAGGTAACATTGGCTCACCCTCCCTCCCTCTTTCTCAACAACAGAGACACTTCTGATCTACCTGCCATTCTACTGTGACAAAATATACTGAGAGTGAGAGAGAGAAAGAGAGAGAGAAGGCAATCTCAGAGTTATCTAATAAGCCTCAGAATTTGAATCATTAAGGCCTGGAAATATCAATAAACTGCTGTGGCTCGCATACTGTACAATTTGTGCAAAGATCAGACCTCCAAATTTCAAGGCTAGGGTTCTTTTCACTCAACTCTGACTTTTCTAACAGATTCCTGGTCAGTGGGAACAATGTTAGGTCAAGAAACCCCAATCTGGACATGTAAAAGTCCAGGACACCCCTGAACATATGTGACCATCATTGTGTGTCCATGTGTAGGGAAAGAATCAACAGACTCTTAGTTACATACAGCCCTCCTTGCTCCCTTTAACACATAAAAAAGGTTAAGGAAAGCTGTCTTAGGATTCTGGTTGTAGTCTGGTTAAGTGTTTGCCATCCAGGTCAGAGTTCTGACAGCTTTTTTCAAAATAGTCCCTTATCAAGGAAGAGCCAGCTAATTTCCTGGCATGGAGCAAATAATCCCTTCATCTCCAAAGGCTGATATTTTATGAACTTCAAAAAATCCAATAGTAGCTAAAAAGATACGCTGCATCTCCAGAAACAAGTGAAGCTTGCATGGGGAATTAGGATATTCTCAACACATAGACCCAGACCACAATGTTGAGAGGTGGGAGGGGTCGGGAGGGGTCCTGAATGGCTTGGATAATTGTCACTATTTCCTTTTATACCTGTAAGCCAAGGCAAGAAGGGAATGCACAGCAAGAAGTATTAAATCTTCCAGGGCTGTGCAAGTCCAGGCAAGGCTAAGTACAGAGTGGGGTATTAAAAAGTCACTCATGTATTGGAGCAGCCTAAGAAAGCAATTAATCTGGAGCTGTGGAACCCAACCCTAGAAAATACATGTTATAGTCTCTGTACATCCTACAGTGCTCCCTGACTCTTAACTGGGGACTCGGAGTTTAGTTAGGTCAGCACAATTGTCCTAAGGCACCTCCAAATGACGTCATATCTCCTTTATCCAGGTCCTTGGCAGTCCCATTGAGTAGGAAAGGAAAGTTTTTCTAAAACAGGCGCCAGTCAAAGAAGAAACAGCAGCTCACCATCTTGCTCTGTGCTCTGGCATCTCTTCTCGCTCCCTCCCCAGACTCCAGCTCCTCCCAAGCCTCCCCCTGCACACGTTTTCCTCTCTCCTCTTTTCCTTTTCCATAGCCTTTCTCTGAATTCCTCTCTCAGAATATTCCTCATTCAATCTTTCTTTTGTCTTCTCTCTCCCTGTCCTCACTCTCTTTGTTTTTCTTCCCTCCCCTCAATCCTTTCCTGACTTCTCCACACGTCTCCCTCCCTTCCCGCCCTGCTTAGCCGGCATCTATCCCAGTCTCTGCCTCTAGGCATCTCTCCCCGTCTCACTCCTTCTCTTAAACGCATGGTCGCTGGCTGTTTAAGTACCTTTTTGTGAATAGGGAAGTCTGAGTTGCTTCCTTCAGACTCCTGTTGAAGTGCTGAGGCTCTGAATGAGATGACTTTGGGTTTTGTCTTTGTTTTGTTTTATAGTTCCTGGATTGTTATGAGTTTAAGAACCACTTATAAGAGGAGCCAGGACAAAAAGAGACGTGAATTCTCCCACCCCCACCCATGGCCAATTTTAGTATAAGGGTTGGCTTAACACGACAAATTCACCAAACTGAGCTTTCTGTAGCCAACCCCCAGGGCCCCTCTCCCAAGTCTCAAACCCCGGGAGGGGAAGGTGGTTTGTGGCTATACGAGGTGCCCTATTGCCCAGACCTACTGCGGTCACTAGGAATCAGCTCCTCCCACCCTTACACAGCCCTCTGGTGCACAAGCACTTTCTCATCCAGCACTTCAGGGCATGTTTCTCCCACCTCACAGAAGAGGAAACCGAGGTCCCGAGAGCTCACACGAGGGCACACAGGCAGGGAGTAGCCTGGTCAAAGCGAGAACGTCACTACACGTTAGAATGCTTCACCCACCTGGAAGAGCAGTCTGCAGCCAGGATACAAGCGCCTCTAGAGGCATTCAGGCTTCTTTTGTGTGCAGATCTTCTGGCTGGGATATGATTTCCCATCTCCCTTATGGAATGTACATTTTGGGGTACTACCTGCCAAGATGAGGAACAGAAACTCATTTTAAAAGAAAACAATATAATCTGTGAGTAGACATAGACATTCAATATTAAGCAATGCAGGGAAGGAAAAGGTGTCTGTACTAGGGGTCAAGAGACCTGGCTGGGTTCTAGCCTGGTTCTTCCGACACCAGCTGTGGGACATCCTCTCTGAGCCTTGGTTTCCTCGTTTACAAAATAGAAGCTTGACAGGTTATCTTTAGGGTTCCCTCCAGCCCTGATAATTAACAAGTTTGAATTTGAGAAAATAAAAGGGCAAATTAGAGTGTACTGTGATGGTAAAATGCTGTTACTTTCTCAAAATGAGAATTTTATATTAGAAAAGAGCCTGGTTTTTATGTAATATGAGTGAGGAGGCTGGGTGCAGAGGACATTTCACAGGCCTGTTAGAAAACTTATTCTGAGTTATGCTTCTGCTACTGACCTGTGCTTCCCACTCTAGACCTCAGTTCCTCCATCTGTAAAATTGATTGATTCAAAATCTTTCTACAGGTAATCACTGAGAAACTACAGTATTTGAGATGCTGATAATATGGCAGAGAACTGGACAAAGTCCCAGTGAGAGAGACAAACAATAAACACATTAATTTATAGATAGTCAAATGTACAAGGGTTAAAACAAGGTACAGAGCATGACAGCAGGGGGAAGACCCCTCTGAGGAGGAGCTCTTTGAGCAGAAACCTGAATGAGGTGAGGCAGCCAGCCCTGCAATATCTGAATGAAGACAATTGCAACTCATCTGGAAAGACCGTCAGTGCAGAGGACCTGGTGGGGCAGAAGTAGGCTTGGCACATTCAAACAGCAGCAGCAAGGAAAGAGGACTCAAACACCGTGGGTAAAGCAGAGAGGCTAGGAGAGGAGGTCAGCAAGGCAGGCAGGTGTCAGATCATTGAGAGCCATAAAAGCCATGGGAGGGAAACCATTGAAGAATTTTGAGCAAGGGCCTGACCTGATTTGATTTTTTTAAGTCTGCTCAGTGGAGACTTAACTGCAGGAGGGCAAGAGCACAAGCAAGTAGATAACTTAGACATGTAAGTTTAAGAGAGAAGAGGATCCAGGACAAACATGTTTTCTTTGAAACGCCCTGTGGCCAAGCCGGTTGGCTTGTACGAAAGCACTTCAAACCTCCCCAGTATAAATCCTCTGCTCCCAACCATAGAACCCATCTCATGTCCCAGGTCCCAAAGCTGGGGCGGCGGGGGGTGGTTGTTACTGGGGATCTTATGCTCTAGACCTCGTTCAGGCGGGACAAGAGGGTGTTCGGGCTGGGGTGGTAGCCATGAAGAAGGTGAGAACTGGTTAGTATTGGAGTTTGATTTGAAGTAGAGTGGGCAGGACATGCTGAAGCTTTGTTTGGCTATCAAGCTAAGGAAATGAAAGAGCCATTGACAACACCTGGAGGGTCATTGGGACATTCTCTAAAATGCCTTCAAGTTTCACAAATTCCCAAGAGTGCAGGAAGTGGATTTATGCCAAAAACTTCTGGATATTTTGCATATAGAAAACCCTTTTATTTCCCAGACAGAAGACAGTGAGGAATGAAGCCAGTGGAGAGAAGCAACATGGAATGGTAGAAAGAGGCATGGTCTGGGCGTATAAGGCCCTGGACTTAAAGGCTTAGTTTTTTCCTGCTTAAAATGGGCTGGATAATCCTGGCCTTTTCCAAATAAGATTTGAGAACCAGATCAGACAGTGCAAGTGAAAGTGCCTGGTAGTCCATAAAACATCATGGCCTATAAAGGCCGTTACGAGGCCTGGACTTTCCTTCCACACTGGCTTTCACCAACATCCACAAAGCTTAGGCTAAAGTGATGGCTTTGGGAATAAAGTGCAAAGAGCTGGTAAGTTGAACTTTTTCCACTGGGAGGGGCGGGTGGTGACCTCTTCAGCCTCATCTCTTCAGTAGTCTCTTATCCAGTCTCCTATCTATTCACTTTCCAGCACAGAAGATTTAAATGAGTCCCCGCAACCAACAGTTCAAATGCAAACACGTCAGCCTGACAGTTCATCTCCTCGGACTGACCTGATTTCCTGATCAGTCTCACTCTGTGTCACTCCTCATCTGCCAGCCATCCTAGTCCCTGGAAACACTCGCTCTTCCCTACACGCACTGCATACTCTCCCACGCCCACTTGTACATGCTGTGCTTCTCCTGTGCTATCTTTGACCCATCTCAGCCTGTTAAGATCATT